CACTCGTCCAAATTATAAAGTGGGACAAGTCACCTAAAACGGGTCTGCGCAGAGATCAAGGTTCAAGGGTTCGGTTATGAGTGAAGAAGGGCATACGCACACCTCACAATCCTTCGTTTAAACACGATTGCATACTTTAAAATTGAGGTTTTAATTCAACTCATTTATTATATTTGTATTTAGGTCTTAACAAACAAGTTTGAAAAAGAGAAACCAAATTGAAACATTTTTTTAAATTTTTGGATTAAAATGGACTAAATCAAAGACATGCATGCAAAACAACAAAAACAAGAAGTTAAGGGACTAACTTGATTAAATTCAAAAGATGAAGGACTGATTTGATTAAATTCAAAACATGAAGGACTGATTTGAATAGATTTGAAACTTAGGACTAAATTGCTTAATAATGAAAGGTTTGAGTGAAATTTGAAATAAAGAAAGATAAATTTGACTTTGAGCAAGATTAAAGGAAATTAAAGGTTTAAGTTAATTAACTATGATAATTAATTTAGTTGAATGATTAATTTAATATTAATTAAAATTAATTAATCACATTCATAAGTCTTTAATCAAGATAATCAAGCAACATGATTATCTTAAATTAGGATCCATAATTATGATTAATTAATTTTAATTAAAATTAATTAATTTTATTAATCATAAATTAAATTAATTATCTTAATTAATTTTTTTGGATTGGGTCAGATCTACTGGGTCCAAAAACAAGACCGGTCAATCAAAACTAAGTAAAAATCAAATCAAACATGTGAAAAAAAAAAAGCTTAAAGTTAGGGTTCTTCAATTTGAAAGCAAGAACACATTTATCATAAAAAGGGGCTAAATTCATCAACAGAAAACAGAACAAACACATTCATCAGGTAAAAGGAACTGTGTGATCTCTAAATAGCTTTCATTCCAACCAAACATATACTAATTTAACATCCTAAACAAAGAAAAAAAGAATCATCAACAGATAAAAGAAATAGACAAGCACGGCGGATTCTTTAAAGGAAAACAGGTCTGGATCTGATGGAAGGAACCCACCCACGGGATCAAGCTTCCATCATCTCCTTCACCATTTCTTCTAAAAGAATCCCTGTTTCAGAGATTTTTTTTTACCTAAGATGGAAAGAAAAGAAACCAGAGAATGCACAATCCCTTCGGTGAGCTCTGGAAATTCAGGTTCCTCTTCCTCTTACTGCCACCTCCGGCAACACCCAAATCCAGACCAAAAAAAACCAGAATCAACCAAGAAAAAGGAAAATAAAAAAAACTCCCCCAGACCTCTGCCTTTTGCTCTATATATACACCCAAAATGACAAAAATAAAAATAAAATGCAACAACAAAAAACAGGGGCCTTGCTCTGTCAATCAATAATGCCAATTTTGTCCGGCATTGGCTGTTTTTTTTGTATGGATGTAGTGTGCAGAAGGCAGGGGCAAGGAATTGGGCGCAGAGCAAGGCTGGTGCAGGAAGCAAGGCCGCGCTGCAAGGGCAGGGCTCGGTGCAGCAAAGGGGCGTAGGGGGGGTATGATGGCTCGGGCATGCAGGGCATGATTGCCGGTGATGGCTGGTGCAGAGTGCAGGCGATTCGGGTGCAGAAAGGGGCAGGGGATTTGGCGCAGAAGGCATGGGATTTGGGCGCAGGAGGCAGGTCAGGCGCAGAACAGGGAGCAGGGCGGTATGATTGCGGGCAGGTGTGCAAGGGGGGGTGTAGGGTGTATGATTGCCGGTGATGAGTGCAGGCGAACTGGGTTCGGTGCAGCAGCAGAGGAGCTGGTTCGGTGCAGAGGGGAGAGGGAGCTGGTTCGGTGCAGAGGGGAGAGGGAGCTGGTTCGGTGCAGAGGGAGGTGGAGGCTGGTTCGTGCTAGAGGGGAGAGGAAGCTGGTGATTGATGCAGAGGAGGGTGGAGGCTGGTTCGGGGGAGGGAAGGAAGGGAGAAAACCGGGGGGGAGGAGGAAGAAGGTTCGAGAAATCTGTTTCTTTATTTCCCTTCTTTTTTTTCTTTTTTTTCTTTTTTTTTTGAATTTTGGGTTAAATGGGTTTTGGGTTTGGGTTTTGGGTTTTTGGTAAGCTTTGGGTTTTTTGGGTTTTTGATTTTTGACTTCAATGCATTTTACCCTTCAACTTTTCATCTTTTCAATTAAGTCCCTTCTTTCTTCTTCTCCCATTTTTTCGCGAAATTTCCCTTTTGTTTGCCAACCTAACAATGAAAGTAAAAATTGAACATATTAATGAAGATAAAAAATAAAAATAAAATTTTTTAAAAAATTTTGAGTTATGATAGGATGCATCTATCTCATAATGAATTAAGGATTGAGTTATATATACTCTTAATGAAATTTGTAGCTCAATGAGTTGGGTGTCTTAGTTGTAGGAGCACTCTTGACAAATTTTACCTATATGAGTGTCAAAGTGAGGCCACTTTTATAAAAATTGGATGGGCAATTTTCTAAATCACCCATGAAAATTAAGATCATGCGCAAGGCCATAATGCACCAGTTATGTGAAAAACTCAACATTCAGATCATTTTGTGTGTGATATGATTCTTATATCTTTCAATGGGTTCATAGTTCAAGACTTGGTTCACTATTGACTTTAGATTAAGAATTGTTGACTCACTAAGGTTCAAGGCTTAACTACTCTTTTTATGCATAATAATCCATTTTTGCCCAGAAGAAAGGTTTATTTTTTTTATTAAAATAGTGGGTGAATTGTTGAAATTTAAATATTTTAATAAAAAATAAAATATATATTTTATAAATTAAATATATTGTCCCATTAATAATTTGGTCAAAGTAACCGTTGTAAGTCTATTATCGTACTTAAGAGCACACTATTTCATAATAATTGCTCAATTTATTCTTATCATTAACTTACAAATGAAAGATATATGACTACGAGTCCTATAAATTGGATATGTGTTTTTACTCAACAAAAGGGGGAAGTTCCTCCACATTCTTCTATTTTTCTTACCTTACTCTATCTTTTAAATATTTTTGAGGAAAAAAAAGGGTTGTTTGAGTTAAGTAATTCTATGGATAGTGCAGATTCATAAAGTATTATTATAAAACTGTAGCATTCTAGGGGCGATATACTATATACATCTCTACTGCACCAATCAATCTACCTCCGTAGAGGCGTGAATCGCCTTGTTGTTCCTCGTAAAATAAATAGAAAAATAAAGTAGACAAAAGATTAGTAAAAACAATTAATTAAAGGTGGAAAAATAGAACGATGTCACCGAAAGTATAAGCAGCTTAAGTTGAGACGTGGATCAATCACTCTCTTTAGGACATTTCGTGTTGTTAGTGTAACAGTTTTTTATGATCACGCCGTCTCCAAAATACAACAACCCAACCTTTCCTCATTATAACTTTACAAATTCTACACTCTTGTAAAGAAAGCTCTACCCCACCATCTCTTTCCTTGCCAAAGAGAGTTTGAATACCATGTTTGTGGAATAAAAGTGTAAATTACGAGTCAACGACCTAAATAACTTAGTGGTCATCTCTTTTCGCTGGAAGTAAGAGATTTTGAGTTCGAGTCGCATAGCATGCTGGTAAAGTGAGATAAAGGATGAGAGATGGTTATTTCCCATTGTGCAACCAAGATAAAACAAAAAAAAAAAAAAGTGTAGATTATGAAAAATTGTATCAGCCATTGACAAAAAAATAAAATGTAACCGAAAAAATAAAATGGGAGGCTATCACAATTTAAAATAAAGCTTACCGATTACAAGATTGAAACTGATTAGCAATTCATGAATCTAGCCGGTTACAAAGACAAGAAATAATGTAAACAGCAGGTTTACAACATAATGTTCTCGATTACGAAATAATGTTACCGGTTACAACATTTGAATTTGATTTTTTTTCTTAAAGGAAAAAACGCACAAATCCACTCTGAAAACAGAAACGCATGGATTCACATGAATTTTTTAAGTTTCTATATATTTTTTTATGTACCGGATATGGCGACGATTTGAGGATTATCTGGTTGCTTCAAAGTGGGTTACTATCTATAATTTATCGATTCATTAATTAAATACAATATACCCCAGTCACGCTGAAGTAATATTGCATTGAAGGAGGTTTACACTACCTCGCTTATGATGACCAAGGATCCTTGGTTTAATCTAAAAGCCTACATGACCTGGATCTTCACCGTCGATGCAGAGTTCTACTCCTCATCAGGCTTAAGTTATGTGGGCTCATTGATTCGATCACCGGGCCAAATCAAATTGTCTTCAATATATTCATCAATAATCAAATGGCGGAGAACAAGTAGAAGTATTTGACGAGGCCAATGGCTCTGGGGTTTCCGATTCATAAAGATTATATCGTTTTGGTTAGAAACAAGGCCAAAGCAAAGGAGGTCCGGTTAGATTTGCATGCTAATCTATCATTGACGGCAGAATATGTCAATGCTTTCTTGAATGACGTGAGATTTTCAATCCTGATCCTGTCCCCAGTCCTCAACCACCGAATCGCTGCAAAGAAGTTTAAAAAGCAATGAAAAATTAACGATTTATCGATCATTGGAGCTATTCTCGGTGGTTTTGCTTTGTTATCTCCTCCTGAGTTTCTTCATTTTCCAGAAAAGAAGGAAAATGGACTCTCTATTTCACATTAAAGTTCTTTACCATAAAAAAATCCCCAGAGTACCGTCCGATCTCTGTCATCACTTCTCAATAGCCGAGATCAAAACCACTACACAAGATTTTGACAATCGGTTTCTAATCGAAAGTGGACGATTTGGGAACGTTCACAGAGGGATTGTTGATGGTGGGAAAACAACCTTTGCAATTAAACAGTTAAACCCTTTATCAAGGCAACGGATGCAAAAGTTCCACTTGGAAATCACCATGCGCTCAAAGTTTCGACACATTCATCTTGTGTCTCTAATCGGTAATGCGATGATGATAGCAAGATCCTGCTGTACGATTACATGCCATGCAGTACCTTCCAAGATCATCTCAACAAAATTGAAAATCCACCATTGTTATGGAAACAGCGACTAGTGGAGATTTGCACCGGGGTAGAGCGTGGGTTTCACTTCTCTATAGAGGTGCAAAGCACGGTGTTATCCACCACGACATAAAATCATTGAATATATTGTACATTGGATGAGAATTACATGGCAATGTGTCAGATTTTGGTCTGTCAATGAGTCCCAATGTGGATATGAATAGCCCTATCCACCTCACTCAGTTATTCAAATTCAGAATGATTAAACCTCCAATTTGGTCATTGAACTATTGTACAAACCTTCAATTTGATCCTTAAATTAAAAAAATCCCTGATTTGGTTCCTCAACTATTGTACAAAACCTTGATTTGATCCCTACTACTTATTGATTTAGCTTTAAGTTGGTCCTTCCGTGCAAAAAAAAATTGACGTGTCCATTACTTAATAGTAAAAAATAGTTACTAAACGACTATGTGTCATGTTAATAATAAGACATGTCAGCTATTTTTTATACGGAAGAATCAACTTAAAGCAAATTGATAGGCAGTAGGGACCAAACTAAGGGTCCATACAATAGTTTAGAGATCAAATTAGGGATTTTTTTAGTTCAGGAACCAAATCAAAGATCTCCACAATAGTTCAAGGACCAAATTTGGGATTTAACCATTCAAAATTTCTAATTTATAATAGGCGAAAATTACCACCGAATTATTTAAATCGTTGATCAATCAAAGTAATTATTATATCTTTATTAATAAAATCTTCAGTTCAACGTATTCTATAATACATTTATTAAGAAATTATTATTTTTAAATATGAATTAAAAGTGAAAAAATTTAAATTGTAGATTTTAATGATTGAACCGATGAGTATTAATGAATGTGTTTAACTAAGGGTATAACAAACATGGAAAGATCTAGGAAAAGGTACATGCAAAAGAAAAAAAAAAGGGAAGAAGAAGAAGACAATTATGGGAAAGACCAAGACTTTTAGCTGGGTGTTCACCTGCCAAGTACACACACAATGGCAAATGCACTTATTCAGCCATCTCCAATCACACGGTCACCAAGCAATAGTCTTATCACTCTCACTTTCTGATATATAACTCTTCTACTATATTTGAGCATAGCAATTTTAACATTAAATTTCTCCCTTAATTGTCATCACCAAATAGCAGCCTGCTTGTATCTTTCTCTGATATCTTGGTTTTGGAGCTCAAATCACCTACAGTAATGCTACATGTAGTATCACTTACTGATTGTTGAGATTTTGCCGCAGTCGCACTTGAACCACTAAAGAGCTCATCATCGTTGGGGGTTGCACTGCTGCTGTTCGTGTTCCCATCTACTGCTTCTTGAAGCTGCAACGTGAACTCCAAGGCCCACACAATATCGCCCATCGTAGGCCGTTCCGTTCCTTGATTACGAACACATTTTTCCGCAACCTCACCAAACTTTTGCAAGGCGATCGGGGCAATCTGGCCCTTGAGACAAGGGTCGATAATCTGATCAAGCAATCCTTTTAAGTAACAAGAGCTGGCCCAATGGGCTAGGTTCGCTTTCTCCTTTGACAGGCCCTGGATCATTGGCGGCCTACCACACAGCACCTCAAACAAGACCACACCAAAAGAGTACACGTCAGATTTTTCTGTTAGACGTTGCCGGAGATAATATTCCGGATCTACATACCCCAAACTACCCTTTACCACGGTGCTGACGTGGGTCTGCGACGTGCTTGTGGGACCCAGTTTGGACAAACCAAAATCTGACACCTTGGCCACGTAATTCTCGTCCAATAATATATTCGATGATTTCACGTCACGGTGGATTATGCAGTGCTTCGCCTCCTTGTGGAGATAGTGCAACCCACGCGCCGCCCCTATGCAGATCTCCAGCCGCTGTTTCCATGATAACGGAGGATTCTTGGTTTGGTATAGATGATCTCGAAGTGTGCCACGTGGCATATAGTCGTACACCAGTATCATCTCGCCATGATCATCACAATATCCTATCAGAGAAACAAGATGCATGTGTCTAAGCTTCGAAAGCATGGTGATTTCAGTGTGAAACTCATGGGCCCCTTGCCTTGATGAAGAGTTTAACCGTTTGATTGCAACAGTGGTGGTCACACCATCTATAATCCCTCTGTAAACGTTCCCAAATCCACCGCTTCCGATCAGAAACTGATCGTCGAAGTCTTGAGTGGCAGCTTTAATCTGGGCGATTGAGAATTGACGGCAGAGATCAGATGGTAGTGAGGAGTAGGTTTTTGTGGTAGAGAATTTTGACGTGAAAGAGATCGAATCCTTCAATTTTCTTCTTCTCTGGAAAATAAAAAGGCCCAGTAGGAAAGAAAACAGAGCAAAACCACCAAGAATAGCCCCAAGGATTGGCAAAAACGTGGTAGTTACTTCACTCTTGGGATTTTTGGGCAACCTCAGGGGTGAATCCGGCGGTGAAGGACTAAAACTTGGATCAGGGTTGGGCCCAGCTAGGTTACCATTAGTTTGATTCAATTTGAAAATCTCTAAACCATTTAAAAATGCATCTACAAATCTTACGTTTTGAGGGTGCAGCTCTAACGTGAGATCCTTTCCTTTGATCCCGCTGTCACCCATAACAATATAGTCTTTGTAGATCGGAAACCCGTGGCCGCCACTCTCCTCAAACACGTCTACATGCCTCGCCGCCTTTTGTTGGTTAATGAATATGTCGAAAACATGTTGACCACTGCCTGTGACCTCTTTCCAAAGCTCACAAAAATGAAGCCTGACGAGGTAGCTGAACCCTGCATCAACGGGGAAGATCCAGGTCAGGTTGGTTTTCATATTAAATGAAGAATCGTTGGTCATCTGACGCGAAGTAGTGTAAACTTCATCAGGTGCAGTGTACGGTTGTGTGGTTCCTGTAAATTGAAGCTGGGATTTAGTCAAAAGTGGCACAGTCCACCCTAATCCACCAGCGACGTAGTCTTCATCTCGTTGCCATGTTCGGTACATTCCGGTATCTTTCGTGTTCTCAATTTGATTTCCACCCACATTCAGCCGATAAACAGTCTCAAGAGAGGTGGTATCATCCAAAGTCTGGATTAGAGCACCGACTGCAGTCACGAGTGGGATATTAATATCATCACCGCGTGTGTAGAGGAGGCTTGGCATGGAAACAACTTCGATGGCGTTAATGAAAGCATAAGAGTTGGGAGATGGGCTGAAAGTTATATTAAGCCTCTCGCTATCCCTCACTGTAACAATAAATTCTTTGATCAAGTGGGATACAGGTCGACGATACATGGCGGAAGCTGTCAGATGCGCACTGAAATTTTTCAAGAGGGTGTAGCTGTTGGCAGTGACAGAGAAGAAGGAAGCGGTCATATCCAGATGAGAGTATTGTTCTGGGTAGAAGTAGAGACGAAGGAACTTTGGGCCAGGGGAGACCGGAAAGCTGTAGGTGAAATTAGATTGAATGATGAGTGCAGAGAGGTAGGGAACTTGGGAAACAGAAGTGTCTTGGCGGGAGGCATTAGAAGGAAACGATGAGCTTTGTTGATTGAAGGAGGAATATTTAGAGCGAGTATCGGCTTCCCAGCTCCGGCCATCCAAAGTTGTAGTGTTGACCGGCGCACCACAGTCGAGTAGTATGATTTCAGTGGCATTGTAGGCAGTGGCAGCGGTTGCCGGCAGGATGACATGGAGGAGTGAGATGATGAAGATGGTGAGTCTCAGCCTTTTTCTGGGATTCATTACTTCAGGAAAGCCGGTCATTTTTTCTGAAATTAGAAGGCTTTTTTTCTTTTATCAGCCTACAAAATTAAAATTAGAAGGGATTTTTGATTGCACCCTTTTTATAAAACTGATCAAAGGAAGAAGAAAGACTTTTCTACACGAGACATTAATGATGGCGAGACTGATAGAAACTGAAGCTGGATGCTTCCATGTGATTTCATGACAAGTCCAAAGACCTAAAAGTCTTCTGCTCTAGGACAAGCCTTCCCCCTTCATTTTCCGCTTTTTTTTTTTCTTTTCTTTTCCCTTCTTACATTCCAAGTCCAGGATAACTATTGAATGGCAATGGTTTTTATTGGGTCTACCAAACTTTCGTTGCTTAATATTGCCATCATAGCATCATACACATAAAATATTTAAAATGAAATCCCCTTTTTGCCATAAAGAAAAAAAAAAAAAAAAGGAAAAAAAATTTCTTGTTTATTATTATTATTATTATTATCATTATTATTATTATTATTATTATTTAAACAATACAATTGAATAATGAAACACTAGATTACCAAATCTTAAATTTTTAATTTTTAAATGTCACCTTTCTTTTTCAAAAGAATTATAGCTACTCCCCAAATGGTTGTTGGCCCTTGTTTAATTAACTGAATTTAGAGGCTGAAGTTGAGAAAGTAATGAATTATATATACCTGCATAGAAAGGAATATGTTATACACGAGAATAGGCTGTTAGTTTTCAGGGACACGTGGCAAAGCTCTACCGGTCTAGTTGTTGAGATTTTTATTAAAAAAAGTCAGTTTGGAAAGCTAACTTGCTAAGGACGCCTGGCAGGTTCTCATTAGAGCATAATAATTAAGAGGTAACCAAGGTGCAACTATGATTAGGTAAACCTTATCGAATCAAACCCTCCATGACTCCATTGCTTACCAGACACTACAATCATACTGTTTTCCCTCTTATCTTTTTCTTGCTTACGAGACACTATAATCATACTCTTTTCCCTCTATCTTTTTCTACGTCTTATCTGCTACACTCTCACCGAAAACAAAGTCTCCGACTCCATTGCTTACTTAGGCGCCGTACAATCATATTGATTGTAAAGTGCTAAATCAGAGTCCAACTCTAGTAACTAGCTAAACGCTGACACCTGTTTGTTTAGCAAGTCACTTGTACTTACCAAAAAATTTGGCCACTATTAATTGATTTTCTTTTTAACTAAAGCGTCATGGCTTTATATATGTATATTTTGATATTAATCACTTCTTAATTCGATCAAAAACAGGTTATCAATTCCTTGTTGAACGCTTGGTTGTCACTTCTTGCTTATCATTACATAACCAAATTAACATACATATCGATATATGATTTTGATTAATACGTACATATATAGCTTAATTATATTATATATGGATATGACCCATGTAATTCCATGTGGTCATATCCTTTGAAATTACAGACGGAGAGATGAATCGGGGGAAAACATTATAATAAGTAACTAGAAGCTGAAACATTCTTAATATTCCATCTTCACCTTATTTATAATTAACAACTCATGCGCAGCTTGAAACCCACTTCAGTACTGATGCAGCATGTATAGTATCAATAGAGATGGTCGTCACTATCCGGACCCTCGGCAGTGGTCGTAAGGGGAGCAACGGTCGGGTCTGCCGCCTACTGGTAGGCAATTTGCATAAACCTTATCTTTACAAATTGCAGGTTTCATATTTGTCCTGTAAATCAGGGGTGGGTCCGACGCGAGAATCCTTGCGTTCACTTCTGACTCGAGCAAGAACTCTTGGTCCCCTATGAATTCAGAAATTCTGGTGGCGTTGATGCTGCCTCTGGTGGTAGAAGCCGCCTCCGCAACTTCTCCGGTAAGGAGAATAAGAAGCACTGCTAAGGTCAATAATTCAAGGCACCGTCTCTTCATCTCAGTCCGCATCTTCTTCTTTACCAATAGTTGTCGAGATTTTTTTGGAGTGCTGGCTGCTGCTGAATCTTTATAATGCTCGCTTCACTTAAATGCAAAAGGAGTAAAACCAAATGATAACAAGTGAATGGCTATCCTAAATTGGCCTTTTTAAGCCTTTCTCTTTGTTTAAAGGGACTTGCACTTATTATATTTTTTTTTATTATTAATTTATATAAAAAAATTGCTTTAATTTCAATTAAACGTTTAATTAAATTACTTCACATAATATTAGTATTAAAATAAAATTAATTTTTATAATTTTTTATATAAATTAATAATAAAAAATATAATAAACATATCCTTAAAAAATATAGGTTAAAAATATTCTTATTTAAATGTGAGTGGAGATTGGCTTCTTTGTATTGTTATATTTATAAATTTTTCTAATTTTAATTTTAGGCCAGACTAACTTTTAATAAATATGTTATCAATTGCCTAAAGGTGTTTGCATTAGTGTACTAAAAAATATTTTAAAATTTCTTAAACATCAAAAGAAATTAAAATAAATATTTATAGATGTCTAAGCTCTGGAATTTAGACACGGTGGTCTCCACTCTCAAGATAGACATGTAAAGTTGTTTACTTGTCTAAGATCGAGCGCTACTCATGCCAGAAGTCACAAGTTGCTGGTGCAACTCAATTCCTTTATTTCTGGTAGTGCAGAACTCGTGTCTATATGGGCTGCAGAGGGCGGTTGGACTTGAGAAAGGTCATCCTAAAATACCCCATTCACTAGGACTAGCTCGGTAGGTTGAGCTGTCAAGCATAAATACTGCCCTTCGAGATACTTCACCCAGTTAGCCAATAGCGGATTTATACCGAGGTCACTAGACCCCATAATCCAACAAGATCTAGAAAAATCTACGCAAACAACAAAAAATGGTGGGAAGAAGCCAAGGCTTCTAAATAGCTAGACATTCACATGCCAATTTATTGGTATATCTAAATAAGTTATATAAGATAAAATATAACCCTTTTCTTTTCTTAAATTTCTCCTCCTTAAATTCAAGATTTGAATTTAAAAATTTAAACTTAATATTTATAAATTAAAATCTCAAACTTTTAACTATTATACTATCCCTTTGGGATTCCCTCACATGCCAATTACATACACAATAGCATCAATAGCCAACACCAATTATACACTCAGACTCTCAACAAATAGTCAACACTGGTCTCACCAAATAGTTTCAAAAAAAAAAGTTTTTTTTTTTAATCTTGAATTGCACAATAAAAAACAACTCATTCACAAGCATATATTGGAATTCTATCTGCAACCTATTAATTCCAGCACTAGAATCTTGTTGACCATTTCTTGGTGTCAACAAAACACTAAAACAATTTAATTGAATAATTAATAAAGATTAAATTCTCAATTTGGTTCTTAAACTATTATACGGACTTTCGATTTGGTCCCTAAACTAAAAAAATCCCTGATTAAGTCCCTGAACTATTGTACGAACCCCCAATTTGGTCCCTACTATTTACTAATTTATCCCAAGTTGGTTCTTTCGCACAAAAAAAACTAACGTATCTCGTTATTAACGTGACACATGGCCGTTAAGTTATTGTTTTTTGTCGTTAGGTAACAGACACGTCAACTGTTTTTTGTACAGAAGAACCAACTTGGGGCTAAATTAGTAAACAGTAGGGACCAAATTGGGAGTTCATACAATAGTTCAAGGACCAAATCAGGGTTTTTTTTAATTCAAGGATCAAATTAGAGGTCCGTATAATAATTCAGGGACCAAATTGGGGTTTTAACCTTAATAAAATTAAAGTCATTTTTTATTTTTTTATAAATTAATGATAAAAAAAATATAATAAATACATTATTAAACTATACTACAAGAGTAGAGCCTAAGTTAGTAAATTCCTTAAATTTTATTTTATTCATTGGTCGAGAAGATTGTTTACGACTGGCAATGGGTGTTGACAAGTGATAGTGTAAGCTTAACTCATCCTCAAGGTAGAGAAGCCAAGCTAATGCTTACCAAGTGGAAGTGGAAGGCATTGTTTTGAAAATCAAACTAGACTAGACAATTGGATCAGTTAATAGATACTCGGTAGCCTAAACTGCTCGAGTGACCACTCAAAATCGCTTGGGTGATCAAACCGCTTGAAGCTTTTGTCCTGTTCAAATCGACATGAATCAATAAATCGTTTGATCGAATGGTTTAATACTCAAGATAAAAATTCTGAAGATTTGTTCCAGCAAGAGTTGAACAAGCAACCTAAAGTGTTTAATTCAAACCTCTGTCATTTGAGCAGTCAACTCCTTTGTGACATTTGCTGCTTGAAATATTATTTATTTCATAAAAGTTCTCAAATAAATTGTTGAATAAATGGCATTCTAGAGAATCAAACTCCTATCCTCCAAGTTAACCTAAAACCTCCAAAGTGAAGAAACAAGCTTCTGCCACTGGAGCCACCTTACTACATAAGAACCAATCAGCAAAATAATATATTTACATCAAACTAGCAATTTTACAGAGTAAACCAGTTAAACTATCTAAACCAAGAACCAGAGGTCAAAATAATTTGACCTTCAATTTGGTTTTAAAAACATTGGTGGTAGAATTGATGGTTCCTTAATGGAAGGGCATTGTTATAATTTGAGGAATTCACTATTGCCTTATTGGACTTTTGGATGAAATTGAGGTTGAAGAGTTGGGTTGGATCTAAACATGACGGTTTCTACAAGCCTTTTGGACTATAGCCTTACGCATTAGCTCTGGATTCTTGTCTATCCAACCCAACTTGTTTTAAGTTGGCCGAACCCCAAATTTATCTCTCAAATAAAAGGGTATGGATAAATCTGCTTCTTAAAAAAGCAGATAACACTACTAGATTTAGGGTTCATTTCGATCAATCATATTGACCGAAATAGTGCCCCATATGACCGAATAAATGATACTTGGGTCAAAACCACTAATCGAAATGTATAGGCCAAATAGCCTCTATACGAAATAGTATTTCGGACAAAATTTCATCTTAACCGAAATAACTCATCAATTCGGTTAATATAAGTGACCGAAAATGTGAGTGGGAAATCATTAAAATAACTACTTAAATTCGGACAAGTAATTTGACCGAATTTAATAATAATATTTTATGTAAAAATTTTGATCAATATAATTGACCGAATTAAAGAAAGGGCTATTTTTGGTATTCGAAATAACTTTTTCGAGGTTAATAACTAACCGAAATAAGAGCACAAAAACACTTCTCCCAGCCCAATCTCGGTCAAGTAAAATGACCGAAATATATGGCCAAGTAAAATGACCGAAGTATATGGCCAAAATGTTCAAAATGTGGTGGAATTTTTTGGATGTATTTCGGTCAATATTATTTACCGAAATATATTGGTAGAAAATATTAAAATTTTTGGCGAAAATTTTAGGCTGGCGAAATTGGCAGAAATTTTCAATTTATTTCAGTCAAGTATATTGACCGAAATATATCTGCAGAAATTTTTAAAATTTGAGCGAAAATTTTACGCAGGTGAAATTAACGAAAATTTTCAAGTTATTTCAGTCAAGTATATTAACCGAAATATATATCCAGATTTGAAAAAAAAATAAATTATTTAATAAATTTTAATATACATAATAGATATTATAAAAACATTTAGTACTAAAATAATTCGATATTAATATTATGAATTATATATAATTGTTATTTATTTAATTTTTAAATATTTAATGATTTTTTACTTATGATTATAATTATTTATTAATAAAAAATACTTTACATTTATAAAAAGAATCCTACTAAAATATAATGTCAAATAAATAAAAAAATCACAAATAAAATCATATTAACTAAAAGCATGCAAAATAAATCCAAAATAAATGGAAAAATATGTTTATGAGTAAATTAAAACAATATGTATATTAATTATGGTAATAAAGTTAATTACCTCCATAATGTTGCCCCATTCTTCACAAAATTAGGTAGCCTTTTCAAAGAAAAAATCAAATCATTAGTATAAACATTAAACATATATACATAAAAGTTGATAAAATATTATGAAATATTTACAATATTTAGATAATCAAAGAAAATGGAAGGAAAAGAGAAATGGTAAACAAAAAAGAGTTACTACTATTAGTTTGGCATAAAAAAAAAATTAAAGAATGTAAATTAAACTTTAAATAAAAAAAATAAAGAGGGGTACTAAGATGAAGAAATACAAATTTAATGAAATTGAAAAATAATTAACTAAAATTAAGAAAAATAAAAGATTAACAATCTATTCATAAAATTTCTGTGGAAGAGAAAAAAGAACCAAAGAAGAGAAGAAGAATAAATGAAAGAAAAGAGTGAACCACTATATATAGAAACACTTATGCACTATTTCGGTCAATCATACTGACCGAAATAAAAAGCGAAAATTTCAAAACCGCGAGTCAACGAGAATATGAGATTATTTCGGTCAAATATTATGACCGAATTGAATGACGAGGGAAATTCAAAATTCCTTCACAATTTTCTGACAGTGGTTAAGCTGATACCTGCGTTTGTTGACCTTATTTCGGTCATTCTTATTGACCGAACTAATACTGTTGACTAAAACAGCACCCACCCTGTTGTCGGTGCATGGGATAGTGTGATGGGTTTTTCGGTCAATTATTTTGACCGAAATAATATGCATAGACGTATGGTGCTTTACTCCAACTGTCGAGGGGGTTTTGTTGGGATTATTTCGGTCAATAAGTATGACCAAAATAATCTCTTATTTTTTCGAATTGTAGGGTTTTCAGGACAGCCGGTTTTGTACGGCCAGCTTACGATTTCTGTAGCCGGCTTTACGAGATTCTGCACATTCAATTTTTTCCGTAGAGTCAGCTGTAAAGCTCAAAGCCAGCTTTGCGGGTTTCTTGCACATTCTGTTTTTTTTAAATATCCAGCCGGGTTGTCATGTGTTTTAATCGAAATAGTTTGGTAAGGCTTCTACTTAATCCTATAGTTCTTGCTTTTTGATGTTAATTCCTCTTCTTTTTTACTTAATTTCTTTCAAGCTCTTTTAGATAAATTTATAAGTAATATAATATAATTAGCTCTGTATTCTAAACATATAT